AGCATACTCTGTTGTTGCTTTGTTAGAGCGAAAAGTTACTTGTCCAAGTTTGTGGACTACCTCAAGTCTAGTCTGTATTCTTGCACTTGGTGATAAATTATATGTCAACATATCTAAAGGTGGAAAAAATACTTGCTTATTGACGACATTCCAAGCAATGTTGCAGTTTAACTGAACATTTTCATGGTTTACTAAATGGAGAAACAAACATCACATCTTGCTCATTATATGATGCTTTTGATAACTTATTTTCAAAGCCTAAAAAATGTATTCACACAATTGAGAATTCAGAGCGATATTATACAAGTGCAAAATTCATGTGTGAGCATAGTTTTTCTTTGACCCGCACTGCAGAAGTAATGTTTGCTTTAACCTGACGGAAAGGCTTTTGTAACAAAACAAACATTACAATGTTTGAAATTTATGTGACATTATAAAACATCTCGCAGCTTCTCTGAATTAAAAGGTAAGGTCTATTTTGAAATGGCAGCGTTTAACGAAAACAGTTCCTCTCTTGTAACAAGCAGTGATTCCGACTTTTCAGGGTTTGATCCTGTATCTGATGAAAAGCACAGTTGTAAATTATTTATTATAAAACATGATTCATTGAATGATCTCTCTGATGTTTCAGATATTAGTAGCATAGCTAATGACATATCAAAGGAACTTGACAATGGTATTGATTAGTTCATTAATGACTTAAACAACAGTTCTGTATTTCTAGACTATATTGGGAGTTTGATACAAGCTTTATGACAACAACTGTATCACCCACCATCATTGTCAGACAGAATACATGTATAATAATAAGAATAGGAGTGTGTCTTTAAATCATGATGATGATTGTAAAGGTAATGTTGATGAAGATTTTGATGATGATGTTGAAAATGTTAAAGTTGGTGATTGTGATGATGATTTTAAAGTTGGTGATTGTGATGAAGATTTTGAGGTTAATGATGATTCTGAGGTTGATGATGTTAATGATTCAAGTTATGTTGATATAGAAAATTGTGATACTGATGATTCAAGTGATATGTCACTTAAAGGTGATGACATTATTCCTTAAGCTTCTCTTAGAGACAACAGTCTGACTTGATTGAGTAAAATGTTTCAAACATTTTTTCATCCATCTCACTTTGTCCGGTACCTGTAAAAATGAGGCTGCTCAGCCCAGATCCAATAAATGAGGTGTTCTTGGGCAAATGAAAACTGATGCAGATATAGGCTTCGGGTCAAGAAAGCGAAAAAGAATACCAGGAAAATGGACAAGATATCTGGCTAAGTTACATCGAAATAAAGGTTAAAGCTATTGTTGCATCAAGGGCAAGGTACGATCTGCTATCAAAATTATCACAAATTTAAAAAGAGTTATGATGTGAAATGCAGATGTAAATGCTGAGATAATTTTACAGAGTCAGACAGGGAAACCTTTTTTACATTCCTTTTGGATATTGGGCTCAATATAGAAACAAAGACACTTTTTGAGTTGTCATGCTCAAAAATAACCCAACAAATTGCCAAAGCCAGTGTCTCAAAAAGACGAAAATCAACAATAATCTGGTCAATGCATAACACTGCAGGTGGTTGGAAGATACACGTGTGTAAAACATTTTTCTTTAACACTTAAGGAATAATTTTAAATGATAAAACACTGTACGAACGAAATCCAATCAAATAGGTGTATGCCACGAAGATGAGTGGAGTAATTATTTAAAAAGACTAAATACAATTTCAGAAGCAAGAGTTCAAATGATAAAAGATCATATCAACTTATTGTGGGGAGTCACTTTACAGAAATTTAAAAATGTTGTATCTACGTGCTGGTCTAAGTTAACTAAAAATGTTTACACTATATGTACAATTGGGGAACACAAAGACGCAAAAGGTAAAAAAATCAAAACTACCCAGATTATGTTGTAGCCTGTTTGACTTGGAGGAAATTCTTTTGACCCCTCAATCATTTCAATGCATTGCTTGTACTACAACATCTAGAAGACTTAGTACATTCACTATTACTATCTATGAACTAATTGCAAGGAGAGGGTCATGTGAAATTGCTTCTTGTCTCTTTCATTACATAATTAAAAGCAAGTCAGAAGGTAACAAGCATTTTATCTTTTATAGTGATATCTGTGCTGCACAAAACAAAAATAAATTATATATTGATACGTTATAAAAACTGTCTCACAAAGTTTAACCTCAAATCCATATCTCATAAATATCTTGAAAAGGGACAAACCAAGAATGATGGAGACTCAATCCATGCCTCAGTTGATAATGCAAGTAAAAAAGCTTTCAGTTTATGCAACATCCTAGTGGGAAGCCTTTATACGAAGTGCAAGGTATGGGAAGCCTTATTTTGTTAAAGAAATGCGTTTGGCAGACGTGTTAAATTTTGAAATATGATAAACAAGATCAACAAGGAAAGACGGCGTTCAAAAAACACATCCCCCACACGACCCAGCAAGGAGTACATAATCCTTTTAACATACTTCTGCCTTATTTATATTTATCACTGACTGAAAATTGTCAGTGTTTGCATGTTTAAAAACAACAGCATTGAAGTGGAACCTTAGGGAATTATACCATTCTTGAATAAACTGTAGTATGAGTAGGTTGACTTTTGCAAACATTCAAAAAATGTTAGTTAACATTGTCTTCGTAACGCAATTTATAATTCACATAGTTGCTTAACTGAATGTAAATGTTCAGTTTCATTCAATTACATGTAATTATATTATTTTACTTTAAATACAGACAAAATGACAAAATTCATAATAAAATTATCATACATACTGCTATACTAATTTTCTGTAGTAGATATAAGCCGAAAACTGTCCAATATGTAAAATATTGAATTTCATGAGGCGCGTAGCGCCGAAGGGAATTCAATATGTTACTTATTGGTCAGTTTGAGGTTTATATCTTACTTAAATTACTACTTTAACTATCAAATATCATGTTATCTATCGAAAAATTAGAAATAATGTATTTTTGTTCTAGAAATGTACAATATTAATGTTTTAGCAATTATCTTTTTCTTACTTGCAAAACCCTATAGGTAGCCTCTTGAATAACAAAATGTCCGTAGCATGAAATTTTCGTGTTTTGAAATATGACCAATTATGTACATGAGCACAATGATATACACAAGATATACCAGTTACACAAAATGTTGAACTTACACAAATACAGTATACATCAATTTACATTGGGGATTTTTACAAGAAACAATAAAAATGAAATGTTTTCAAATTTGTGTTGAATCTTGGATATTTTGAATGATTGAAGAAGGATTTATACAGTAGGATTTATACTGACCATTTAGTGTTAAAATGATATTTTTCTTATTTTACTACAGCTATCAAGGATGACAAATGTTGTGTAAGAATTGCCATTAGTGTGAATTTTGGATATTAACGCAACAAAATGATATTTTCTTATTTTTGAAATGGTATTTGTCATACCACAGGAGTCTGGAATCGTTTTTATATATAAGCAATCAAATATAGCCGCTTTTGTTTTAAATAGATGAATTTATTTTCTCTGATTATATTTATTTGAAAAGCTGACCATTACACTTACTTGAAAAGTTGACTTAACTGAGACATAACGTACACACAATTAAGCAAATCAAGTATGATTGTCATGTAAACGTATATTTAAAAAGAAAAAAAACGGACACTAGACAAGAAATTAAACAATCCCATAAAAATCATATCCGCTATCTTTCACTTGGAAAGCGTAAACAGTGATAAGATGTTAAGGGCTTGAAAATCGAAAATCTGTAGGCTTGGAATAATAATTAGTTAAATGAGCAAGATAACAATTATTGTTATTTTCGTAAAATTATGTAAAATGCGTAATGGGCGAAGGAAAGATGTTGCATCATTCCTCGTGATAAGAGGTTACATTTTACTTAATCGTTTTGTTTTTTGTTTATTTATTTATTTTTTATTTGAAGAATTTTCCGCAAAATCCTGTGGTCATACAAGCTTCTTTCACTACACGTCACGCTGTCTGATATTAATGTGTTACACAATTAATATTGGACTTACACATTAATATTGGACATCTACCTGTACTGTATTAAAAATACAGTACGGTCAGAACAAAGGAATGACGTCATAGTAGTAATTCAATATGTATTTTGGTACACATGTATCTTACATGCAACATAGGAAAGTAAAATGTATACTCTTGCCTCATATTTCTGCATTATCCACAGTTCTTAGGTATTTGAAATAAATATATGTAATTTAAAATCTACGCACCTTACATGTGTTGCTTTTGTATTTTCACCAATGTTACCCAAATACAGGTGAAAAATATTTTTATCAAATTCAGATGTGACAAAACAGTCACCATAAACTTTCAGTTTTCAAACATTATCATACATTTGATTTTGTTTTAAACTGGAGAAATATTTGATAGATGCAAAAGTGCTATCATTCTATCATCTTGTTAAGCTATAAGACTTGTGTTCTGAACATATATTGCAATACTAAATTTTCATTTAGTTAATTAAATTGATTTCGTATAAAGCTTCAGAACATGACCAATATTTAGCCAAAATCCAGTTTTAAAGTCGTTACAATGTTTGATTATATTAATGAAATACATGAATAATGATCAGGAAATTTCAAGGTTATATAGTTTATGCATTTGTTTATGAATTTTTAAAACTGTAAGCAACTAACTAAGGACAATAAACAGAGAATTGTATTTTATTTTATATAAGGTAAATGTTAGTGGAAAACGGTTGTATCAAAAACTTATTTAAATATCCTTTTTTTAAATAATCATATAAATTTGATTTCAATTTCACTTAAAATCATTTATTAAACTGTATTAGCTCTCTCCTGAATAGTTTACAAATATTAAGTTTAAACTCTTTCGCACCCAGGTGAGGATATACTTAGCTTCTATAAATTATTAACGAAACAGATATATAGCTGTGAAAAAAAAAAACAACAACAAATTTTTGAATGACGAATGAAATTGGTTTATAATACAAGGACATTTATTTATGATCTGTATCTGGTATAAACACTCCTCATAAGATAAGCTTTCGTTGCGACATTTACGCAGCCCTTTTGTCATCTAAGATATCTACGTGGCAAACTACATACGGAAACATGGTAAATATGATTTAATATTTATACTATTTTAATCTAGTTAACAGATTTCATCACAGCAATTGAGTCTATTTATTGAAATGTATTAAATCTTTCTGAATACTGCTTTTTTCTGAATACTTTTATTTTACAAACGAAATATTGTATACATGTTCATGTTAAATCATACCAAGTTTAACAAAACTTCTTTGTTTAATCTTTTGTTGTTTGTACATTTTTCAGGGGCCATTTTCGATGTTGCTGATTCAAACAGTGTTCGGCGTTGTATTTAAACCAGGTTGGAATGTTATATTTATTTACACTCACAAATACAATGTATTTTGACAGATGTTGTCTTTCAAATTCTGCTTAAAAAGACCATTAATCAGCTCAATAAGAATTATGAGTCATAATGCTAAATCGATGAAACCGAAATTGGTATTTTGAAATTGCAGTCTTAGTATGTTTGTACAGGGATAACATCTCTTAAAGTCGATTTCACTGGCTTAAGCAGCGATTTATCATGACTGTTGTATTTTATTCTTTAACTTACAGCTATTGACAGTCAATACAAATATAGTTTAATCAAATTTAAGAAATAAAAAGCTTTGATGCATAGATGTTATCAAAATTGCGTATCGGATCAGAGCTTCGCACTTTACACTCTAAAATACATTCATACGAGTACATTCTTTACAAAAGAATGTATAAAAAAGGAGAACCACCTTCAGTGCATTTTTATGATTGTGTGCACAACAGTAGCACCGAAAACCACACATCTGATAAATGATTTACAGCAACGCACCATTGATATGCGTTCAGCACTTATTACATTGATAATTTAGTACAACAGATTCACTTTGTGATGTAACTTTAATATTTGATTTTCTTTTTGCGTTTACCTTTTAATATCTGATATATTCTACCACATAAATCCTAGAGATCGTGAGCCAATAAAATAAATTTCTCAAACAGATTTAGAATTTATTTACTGGCATGATGGAAATATTTTAGTTTCTTTTCAAGTATGACATTCTTGACGAGAGAGGTGTTTCAAGAATCTCTGTTATCCATTCAAAAGTTAATTTATGTGACAGAGTGTATTTTACTTAATAGCTGAAGCAAAGGTTTGAAAATCCAAAGAAAGTTTTGCCCTTTCTGAAGTAGTTTTACGGCCGTTACTTGATACTAAAGAGGCAAAGGAACTGAATTATTATACGTTATGGTATATGTTTCAGCAATGACTTTGACATGTCTGCAGTGCAGCAATATCCCAAGACCACTTCATTGTAAAACTGTTGTTAATTGTTTCAAAGGGGAGGTAAGACCTTATAATTCGACGAAAAATGTGTGAAAAATAAATTATTTATATGCTATTGATTTGGTGATATTATAAGCACTATATTTCTTTAACCCTGTTAATAAAATATACATGTTCCAATCATGCTACATATATTTACCAAAATTTGAAAATCAATTTTTTTATACATATATATGTATTTCTGGTCAATTTGAATGATTTCATAAAAGAAATATTTTAAGTGTTGTTTTTTCGTTACTTTTACACGTTTAGAATCACAGAGGTGATTGTCTCAAAGAAAATAAAATGTGTGTTATTTTATTTATTTAACCATGATCATTTGTTATGCAGATGTGTGGCATTGAAAAGTTTAAAAACAGTTTCGGTGAAGACCTCTTTAATGTTGGATGTATGTCCTCAATGGTATGTAGTTTATATTCATAGTGCTTGAATAACTAGTGCTTAAATATCTAGTGCTTGAATATCTAGTGCTTGGATAGCAAGTGCTTAAATATCTTGTGCTTAAATCACTAGTGTTAGAATTACAAGTGCTTGGATAACTACTTTCAGCTTAACCGCTTTATGTTTGATTTATTCTACAAAACCATGTTGATTATTAAAATTTGCATTGCAGCTTGTAAGCATTTATGTACTTAACATTACCCTACCACTGCCCCTACACCGATCCTTTCCTAAAAATTCTAAACATAACCCTACCCTACATACCATACACTAGTCTGAAGGGATTTCAACATTAGAATACAACTATTGAGCTACTAATGGTTAGTTTGGTCAGACTGCGCAAATGCGTAGACTGTCCTGGTTTTATACCAGCGACAAAGGGCATACACATTATTTAAGCATTTCGATTTAGGAGGAACAGGTACAAGCTTTGTTTATTGATATCAAATATATCATAATGTTTAGATATAACGAAATATATTACTTGTGCATGTTTTTACAGAAATGTTCAAAGTCCAATAACACTGACTGTAGGGAATGTTGCAATCATAATTTATGCAATGTTGAAGGCTGTGGTGAAGAAGGTATGCTACATGATTTGTTTCAATGATTATAACTCTAAATTTTACGAAAGCCCTGGGAAGAAACTTTTGTAACTTGAAATGGTCTAATTTATTTCTTGATTTTGTATTACTTGTTTGTTCAGAACAACTGTTTATGTGTGCCATTTTGAAGGTCGTCAGTTAAAACGGAGAGATTTGTACACAAGTTATGAAATTTATAAATTATTTTAATGATCATTTTGTTAATGGTTTTAATTTTGTGTACTGAAAGAGAACTCCAAACTGTAATTCAACAATCTGGTAATGCTCTCAATAAAAAAAGAATATAAGGACACACGAAAAATATTGAAATAGTCTTTTTTATCACATTGTATTAAGAATGTGATTAATGTAAGCTGTTAAAAGATTCGAGTTAAAGTACAAAATATCAAACATCGAAATCCACATGCAATACGATACCGTTCATAATTTAAAGCCATTTGGATTTTGTATAGATGTTTCGGCTAGATGCAGTAGCATATAGTAGTTTCGAGTCACACATTATTGTTACGACTACAATGAGATTACTTTTAGGATCTTAAGAACATGCCACGGTACAGGACACATTCGATTTTTGCAGACAATGGTTTAGATATTCACAAAATCAACGCATGACTATCACAAACTGATTTTTTTGTTTGTTTTATTTTGATGAAATTCCTCAGCTAACCAGAGGACAGGTGCATGGTGGGGAACAATTCGAAAACTAAGTGTTCATTGACTGAAAATTTTTCTCAGATTTAAGGGATACATGAATGTTTGATGTTGCTTTAATACCGAAATGCGGTTAAACACAGGATCTTCTACAAAAATACAATTAATGGAATTTATTGATGAAAAGGAAGTTATTTCAAGGAAATGAGTCATGGGCACGAATGGACAAACAACAGATTACAACTCTGAATATTTCACTATCAAATATTGAAGCTGAATGTAACTCTGTTTCGATTTCACTAGAACTGTATTACACTCTTATGCCCGCGCTGAATCTTAATGATAAGAAATAAGTAAAACCCATTTAGAAATAACAAATAAGATACAAATAACAAAAATGTCTTTCCAGGGCTTCTGCTATAATTGACAGACATGTTTGTTTTTTGTGTGACATTTCTGTTATTTAATTTCTGTTATTAATATAGAGCTTCATCAAATAATCACTTTTAATGAGCTGACTAAGATTTATAGATAAAAAACGCTCTCATTTACAGCCGGAATCATGGATGTCATATATTTATATATTTAAAAAGTTTCTTGTATACCATTTATAAAAATAGCTGTAAAGTCAGTCAAGAAACTTTACATATAATTATTAGAAAGCAGAATAAAACAAAGTAAATGCTGCTCTTCCGCGTACGATACAACCTGGCCCATGCTCTATTATATGAGCACTGGTCATACAAGTTTACCTACGTTTTGTAAATGACGCTCTTCTTGTGTCTTATGCATTTAACCGTGTTACTGTTTTATAAATTGAATCACCTGTTGAGAAATCCATGATACAAATCCTTTCAATTCTCTATGAACATTGTAAAATTATTTAATTTGCTCGTGTTTGCTCATGTGTACATGTTGTTTTATTTTCAAATACAATTTTATTCAAGGTTACCCTTTTATCCGTGGCTCGATTTGTTACAACTGTCCACTTTACTCAGATTCTCAGCCATGCCATAATATACAATTTTGCGAAGCCGGAGAGGTATGTATTTTTATTATTACAATCATTGACACATTCGTTAAGAACTTTATTAATAATTACTCAAATAGACAAAAGTATTTTCGGGAATCAAGGCTTACCAAGACAGTTACATGTGGTAAGTGTTTTATTTACTTATATATCTATGTTAATTATTCCTAGATTGATGATACTGTGAATGTACTACGTCTACTCTTAGTTCCCAGTGGCCACTGAAGTGGGACCAATTTGGAGAAAATTGTGATTACGCGGGTTGATAGGGTAGGCAAACGTGATTTACCGTTTTTGTTTCGGTTTTTGGCCTGAATTTAAATAAAGCCAAATAACAATTGTCAAAGTGACCGCAGTACGGATGATGTACATAATAGGCCGTAGTAAAATTGAGAAAAAACATACTCTTTAAAGAAGGCCCAACACGACAAACTTGTAAATGTTGCAGACTCGGTTTAATTGAGACTGTTCATAGATGATAATGGCAATTGCAAGCTACCGTCCACGCCGCTAGCACCGACTTAAGCACAATTCAACATTAACACACAAAAATGGTAAAATTTTAAATTAAGAAACATCTGCAGAAGTGTTCATACGGCAGTTATCATGGAACTTTCAATGTGGCATAGTAGAGCCATTCAATGAAAATCGGCGTATTGTCCCCGAGTATAAGAAAGCGTGTGCCTTAAACGAGAAAACAATGTAATAAACAACAAAATAAAATGGAATTTTGATTGAGGGAATCTGACAAGACGTCAAAAGGCAATTATAAAAACACTTTAAAACGTGGCAGTACGCACTAGACCGTAACAAAAACTGTTCCGTACAGGAAATTATGTATATCCCCGGCATCTAATCCACTGTCATCACAATTGTCATGTTCTGTTTCGTGATGTTTTATTAAGGTAAGCAGGGACGTGTGATAATCGTATCGTTACGTTTCAATTACAGTATGTTTTGGTGTGTGACGCTTTGCATCGCGATGTGTAACGATTCGTTGAGTCAAGTACGGTCTTAAGCGATGTACATAGAATAGAAATGTGATTAAAAAGGCTACGTTTGCCATAAAACTTCCTCGCTCCACTACTTTTCATACTAATCGTCTTCAAATTGAGACCGGGGATCCATGTACCAGTGCTCTACACCAGTTGAATTAAAGAACTCAGGGCCGCTTCTAGTCTTGATCAAAGTAATTTCTGTATCCATGCAATAACTAACTCTACAAGGCTGTTACAGGTGCAGAAAATAGTAATTGAAAGAAAACAGAAGACCTTCATTTGATTCTGAGCACACTACTGTGTAACATTAGTATTGATTCTATCATGGTCTTATCTTCCTCCTCCTATGACTTCTTTCTGCCGTTTGAATTCTTTGTAATTGTTTTTGGTCCCTTTTTGCTTATACAAAGCTAAATAAGTGCAGCAAACAAAAAAGACAATTCACATCTTTCTGAGCATGCAGTTTTTGTTGAGGCATCTTGATAAAATGGTTGATATTGCTAGAAAGGTATGTCTTTAATACCAGTACAAACTTGTTTCAAAGCTCTCATAATCCAAGTTGTATTCACATGAGACCTTGAAAGAACATGTAAAGCGCACTAGACTTAGATAACAAATCGTAGTGCACCTTAAAGTATCTGCTTCTTCATACCCAATTGCTCGTCCAGGATACCGTTATTAGCCTTTAGGAAACTGAACACAATATATTAACGTTTGGATATTGAGACAAAATATGAACAAAATCCCACAGCGCAGTATGTTTTGGACAACAGATAAGATCATAATGTTAATTTAGTATTTCTTTCGCAATCGAATGTACACCCGTTTATATGTCATTATGATGGTAAATTTAGACTTTATGTATTTTCTTTCAAGTTCATCGTTATATAAAACATCAGTTAAATTTTTTAAATCAATTCAATTGCAAAGGTAAGGACATAAAAAGGTGATGTATTTTCGATTTCTTTCTATAAACGTTCTAAATACAAATTTTTGTGTAAGTGACTCTTCTTTTTTTTTCTGCTATAGTCATGTATGTTTGATTCAAAAAGAGAATTTGGAGAAAGCGTTTACTCAAGCGGTTGTGAAAACGTGCACGTGAGTATTTATTTTAATATCCACATTTCACAATAAACGCTTTATGTTTTATCAGCGTTTAGGCAATCTAGTGCAGTATATCTTTTATAAACAAGCATTAAGTTAGCATACTATAAACGACAAATAGGTTATATGCGATTAACTGTTTTTTTTTTCTAATTTGTCTATTTCACAGTAGAGAGTGAACTCATTTTAACGTGCATTAACATATACAGACGCATTTTCAGGCCAGGAGGCATATTCGATATTCTTGTAAACAAGTATACGACTAATTCGATATTCTGTTACCGGTATTTCATTTAATGCATTTAAGAAACCGATTTCTTTATGTTTTTAACGTTCGAGTGCAAAGTCATTTGATAATGTTATATGTTTCAAAAATGAACTGTCGGGACGTTCATTGCAGTCAGCTATTTATACATGGTGCCCTGAGTCACCCATAATAAAAATACTCCCAAAACAACAAACAACAGAGCATTCCCGCATGATTGTCTCCGTTAATGCATCTGTTTGTGCAGTTTAAATGCATTAAAATGGAATAAATAAGCGTTAAGTTGATCAAGGAACAACAAAGATGTAAACATAATATCACATTTAAATAATATTATTATAGTATCACACTTTTTGCAATACGTTAATTTTCGAAATTGAAGTAGCATTTTTTATTTCAACCAAATAATCATTTTTGTGTCGCCTCTACGGAGTAGTGGCGACATATATGGATCACTTCTCCGTCGTCTGTCTGTCTTTCCATCTGTCTGCCTGTCTGTCCGTCCGTCCGTCATAAAAATTGTCCGGACTACATCTCATAAACTACTGGTGCAATTTCATCCAAACTTTACAGGAATGATCAGTACCAAGTCTAGTTGTGCATATTGTCAGCATTTTCCGGTTCAATGATTTTTGTCAGAGTTATGGCCCTTTAATAATTTTTAATTTTAAAGTTTGTCCGGACTACTTCTCTTATACCACTAATGCAATTTCAATGAAACTTTACAGGATTGATCTGCAGCATAAGTCCTTGTGGGTATTGCACGGGTTTTCCGGTTGAATGATTTTTGGCCGAGTTATGGCCTTTTGAAAAAAAGGTGTTTTTTGTATGTTGCCAGATACACAAAAGCTTGTCCGGACTACTCATAAACTACTGGTGCAATTTTATCCAAACTGTACAGTAATGATCAGTACCAAGTCTAGTTGTGCACTGTCTGTCTGTCTGTCCGTCTGTCACAAAACTTGTCCCAACATGAAATTGGCCACCATGAGGCGACACATGTGATCACTGATCGCTCTTGTTTATTTGTAAATATTTAAAAAGGCTATAATGCAATGTATAATTCATACCTGTTATTTGGTAAAGAACACAACTTTTCATACTGGACCGTTTAACCTTTATAATTCTTTACATCCAATGATAATAATAAACTTGACTGTACCAATAATCATGGTTAAATAAAAGTGTACTAAGTATGTACTAAGTACAATTAGTCATGTATAACTTTTGAATTCATGTGGACCAAATTTAAAGAAGGAATTAATTGCTTTTCGCTTTCTAAATTTTTGATGCTATCACAACAGTAAAATATAAGTCGAGTACATCTGTCTTAGAATCAGTAACAATCTGAAAAAAAAGTGATCCCTCGGAAGCATGTTTGTCTCTTATTTGTCTCTTCATTAGTGTTACGAAATTTAGGATGAATCATAATGATAATAATTATAATTATTATAATAATAACAATTATGTTAGAAACGATGACGAAGATGTTTGATTATAATGATGATATTAATAATTGCTTTCAATATACTGTAAATTAAATGAAGAATTGTGAGCAAAAGAATGTAGCGATTGTTGGACGAGATCTTGAAGACAATCCCGGAGTCAATTTGAAGTCAATCAAAGAACATGTTTGTCGCCAGTGCTGTAATCAGGATCTGTGCAATGACGATTGTAACGCAACAATATATACATCTGGTACTGTCTTGAACTTAAATAAACTGGTTCTATGCGTTATAAATGAATTTTAAAAATGAAATTAAGAGACGTTTCTAGCTCAACACATAAGCCTTGTTGGTTGTTAAGTTAGTCCTGTAGCCCTGATAATAACATAACAGCCTTTTATTTTAAATGCACATTGCAATGCATCAGATTAAATGCAAAACTTAGTTTAAACGGCACATGTACAGATTTGTGATTTTATTTACGAATCTTTAGAAGAAATTTCAAATTGTGAAAGTATTGCCAAATGTAGAAATATAAGATAAGATTGCCAAATGTATTCACTAAAACACCCTTCATTTTTTGTCAAAATATTCAATTGACTTTACTATGATAATTTCTTCCGATTTTATTAAAAAACATTAATGCTTATGCACGAGGTATGTAAAGTATTAAGTTTCTGGTTTTCCGGGGGACTGGTTGTGTTTTATTTGCAGAATGTCACAAAAAAAGATATAAGTAAGCAAGTGTACGAAAAATTTGAAACAATATTATTGTTTATCTCAGTTTGTTCCATTTAAATGACAGAGATTTGGTAGAATTTAACAATTTGTTCTAGAACAATGAGCACATACTTATAAATATTTGCACTGTTTACAAGCGAGCAAAATATAATTGATTAAGAACTTGCTGAAAAATCATTAAAATGTTGCTGGTTCAATCTGATTGCTTTCATAAAATTAACTTGTAATATTTCAATTGAATTTATCTTCTTTTGTAATTCAAACAAATAGGTGCACAAGATTGCAAAGATATTCAACAATTATTTCCTGGAGCAAATAGCGGAATATATGACATTACATTATGGAGATCCAAAAAGACTTTAAAGGTTATGTGTGACATGGATACTAATGGAGGGGGATGGACGGTAGGTAGAGTATTACATATAAGATTTGGTATACTAATAGTGGAGGTATGAACAGAAGGCACTTTACTAGTGTTAGTCTCCTACAGACTTTAGGTGCACCCTTCTTCCATTAGTCTTTCTGTCCGGCAGAAGAACTCTTGATCTTGTCATGTAACTCAAATGTACTGATGCAAGGTAAAGGTTACTTGGTTTATGGATACAGGACCTTATGTGAAGATAAGGCACATCCTTTTCAATTGTTGTTGCTATAGATACGGAATGACCAGCACAAATGAAAGCTGAACAAAACTCGAGTCTGCGATAACAAAACAGTAACTAGGAAAACAATGCTTTGAAGATAGAGGCTAAAATAAAGTGTATGCATTTCATTTTGTTTTTTATATGTCCGTGCGTCTGTCATTGTGTAATTACCATACCTCCATCGACATAACAAGTATCATCAACCTAGCTTTTTTTTAGTTTTTGAGTTCTGGGAGGGTCTAAATTTATTCGTTCAGACAGAATGACAGACGCACGGACATATCAAAAACAAAATGAAATGCAAACACTTCATTTTATTCTCGTATAAATGTTATTTTTGTTCCATCAGCCCTCTGCCTTTCTGTTATTCTATGAGGATCCTGTCATTACACAAAAAGTAAAACAGCTTACACGCCATGTTGGTAAAGGTACATCATGTTTCGTCTGTCCTTCATTCCTTTGGCCGAAATACATTTTGATCATCCCATTGCTCAAATGAACTAAAGCTATGTTTATTATACTTGGAATGTGGATAAAGCACCATTTATATATTGTGCATGGAATCTCAACTCATTTAACTTTGCTCGTGTAAGTCAGAAGTAATCATGATCCTTTCAGAAAATATGATTGTTTAGAGAACCGTACGGAAAGCATGCATGATTTTATTTTTCGTTCGGCCGTCCGTCTGTCATTCTGTCTGTCCGAAGAAATCAGGATCTCGCCATAACTAAAATGGAACAAAACTTAAAAAGAAGTTAATTATTATTGTAAAGGCTAAGTTGATGACACTGGAAATGCGTTTATAGCACCATATATAGACTGTGCTTGACATTTTGAATCTTTTTTTGTCAATTTGTTTCTCAGTCTGTCATTCTGTCAGTCGGAAAGAATCTTGAACACTGATACAAAGACTTGTTTGTGATACTTGTTATGTAAATAGAGTACCATACTTTCGTTGTTCATTTAAATCTGAGACAAATTCATTAAAGTCAAAATATTTAGGAACAGGGATCTTGACTTAAGTTTGAATATACTTATAAAATATTCGGGCTGTAGGGTGTTCATTTTAACTAAATAAGGATATATTTATGGTTAGGGTTATAAAAACAATTGTACCGGTACACTTTACGTGACATATAAGGTACATATAAGGTTTATATTTACGATAGGCAGTTTTAATACATAAATTAAGATAAACATATGGATGAATTGTGCGATATGCTGTTCATTTTACTTAAACTAAGCTGATTTCACGTACTTTAATACTAATAGAGGAAAATGGGCGGTAGGTAGATTATCACACTTAAGTTAGAGTAATATTTGGAGAAGAAATAGGCTATACAGTTCTTTTTATGATGATGGATGTAGATGAACGGATAATAAATGAAACTTTTATTAACTATTAAGAACTATCAAATATACGGTGACTGAAGCGGAATGCACGTTAATTACACTTCAGGCCAGATGTACGAATGGAAAGGAAGACAGTTACAATTACATTAAAGTTAAATTATATAAGGGGCATTGACGGTATAAGTATATTACATTTAAGTTAAGATAAACTAACTTTGAAAGTTGTTTGGTAAAATTAAATACAGTATGTTTGAATTTGACAGCTTCCAAAATTGTTTAAATGATATAATAGAAGTTTTCTTAACAATTTGTATTTTATTCTTAAACTTAATTTTATTACCCATACCGTTCGCACATTTCCATCTTATAAACTGTTAAAAGTGGCATTACCTTTTCGTATATTAAACATGCTTTTAACCAATGCCTATGAAAGGATAATGTTCAAAATATGTGTTTATCACAATTGGCTAATTGATAATACATCAAAAATTGTGTCACAAATATATAACAGGTAATCCAGAGACGTGTTGATGGAAACGTTGATTTCAACAGAAGCTTTGCTGAGTATGTAAATGGTTTTGGAACCCTCCATGGAGAATTTTGGCTTGGTAATGTTAAATCTTTCTTAAGATGGTAACCCGTGTTTTCATTTTTCCCTCAAATTGTACTAGAGTCAACAAAGTTCTGTCAAAATGTCTCAATAATGGTAGTTACGCTAGCGGCTCGTCTAATATAAGTTTGACAGCTGTTACCAATACTTGTACTCGATATTATGTAACAACCTTATAATATTTCCTACCCGACCCACTTTAAGCCTTTTTTGACAATTTGCTATTAATTTTGGCATTATTTGGCAAATAAATACCTACTATATTTACATAAATAAAATCAAACACTTTTTTCATTTAGGGATCTGAAAGATACATAAATAATGTTGAAAAGAAAAAGAATAGTTGTCCCTTCTAGGGTTTAAACCAACGCCGGTTTTAATGCAGTTGAAAATGATTCCAGCCCACTTGAATACTCTTCGAAGTTGATGTAATGCATTAGGGGTTGCCTACCTTCATGATATATGCCGTTTTTATTGGAACAATGAACTTATTTATTTACCTGTCACACTGTGGTGTAAGAAATTTACAATTGTCGAAACAATTCCTAAAATACAATAATAGATATTTCGTAAATATCATCACTGGCGATGAGACGTGCGTTCACTTTTATGAGCCAAATAAAATATATAAGAAAATATGTACAGCCAAAGGAAGTCAAATACCTTGCATGGCAAAACGCACCATGAACGCCAAAATGGTACTGTTTGCATACATATCAATCAAGGTCCTGCTATTCAAATTGCCGTACGAAAGGGTAAATCTGGTAATGCTTATTTTTACAAAGGCAATATCCTTCATAAATTTAGAAAATATTTCAAAAACCGTCGACCAGCAACTTGTCTCCGTGGTGTCAGGTTGTTGCATGGCAATGCTTCGTCACACAAAGCGGCAATTGTACGAGAATATCTGACACAAGAAAAGGTTGTCGAACTTCTTCTCCAGATCTTGCCCCTTGTGACTTTTTCTTATTTCCTAGGCTCAAAAAACACCTTACTGGAAGAAAATATGAAACGCGAAAAAATCTCGGTTTGGCTTTTTTCCAGTGTCTGAACAGTATACCTCGAAAAGATTATGAACACGCATTTAAACAGTTAATTAAAAGTTTGAAAATTTGTATATCACATGGTAGTGAGTATTTTGATGGATTAAGATACTTATTTTGGCACTGTTTGTTAAGCACATCTGAATATTGTCCCAGCTGCTTTCATATTTCAACACCAATCGTACAAGAGTTTTTGAAAATAACGAGAAAAAGTTCTATTTAAGGGTTATCCTGCTTTAATAATTATATTATCTAACTACTTTTTTAAATAATGTGATCATATATCAAAGTTTTTGTTTATTTATTTTTCCTCCATTTCAAGAGTTCTTTATGCAGGAACAAATTATATGTCTGAAGATAATTGTATATAATTACATTGAGTGTTATTGTATAGTAACGTTTGATAGAATATTTTCAATAAGCCAAAAGCTACTGTTTTATGTACAGGACTAGATGCAATAAAAGAGTTGTCTGACAGAGGTGAAACGGAACTTAGGCTGGATTTAATGTCTTTAAACGGAGATGTGGCCTATGAAGTCTTCGGTAACTTTAGACAAGAGACGACACAAAATTATATTCTCAATATCGATCAGGGACATGGTACAGCAGGTAAGTCAAAACTAAAATAAGGAATCTCAAATAAATTCCAATGACATATATGTTAACCACTTATATGAGTTTGTGATATATATTTTTTATTATATTTAGATGAACTAAAATAAATGTGCTAACATTAAAATTAAATGAATAGTAAATAAGATGACTTATAACGTCAATGAGAATTAAATAATGCATATTTTACCACTAAAGCTTACATCAAAGATAATCCGTTAGTAAATTAACTTGATGCAGATTGTCGTTGCCAGTAAGCGTAGTTAAAGCATAGTTTCTTAAGTTCTTTCAACTTACATGAAAGTGAATTGGTCTGTAATGGCAAAGTTTCCATATTAAATATGAGATATATTGTTAAATATCAATAAAAATAAAAATATATCATTGAGATATTAGTATGAACTATTTCTAGAAAACAAAATGTTGATGAATTTTAAAATTATAAACATATATATGATAAAACAATATTAAAATGTTTTAGAGTAATTGAATAACTTCTATACATATAGATACGTGTATGTCATCTTGTTTCTTACAGTTAGAAACAACATTAATGTTAAATTCTTTCGTGGCTTATTTTCGCTTATGATATTACATATACGATAGTTATTTATTGTATAACAGATCATTAATTATGGACCAATCCAAATAAATCACTTTCAAGTCTACCTCTTCTCAATTAATCATTTTTGAAATAATATTGAAACGTGTTATTTTTATACGAGTACGGCTCGAATCAACGATCATTCGGTTCAGCAGCAGAAAACTTAATCACTATGCCGCGATTAGCTTTACATCATCTTACGATTAAGATTATTCGCTAAAATTGAATTAAAGATGATGTAAATTTATTTAAAAACATAAAAATCGTGTCTGGCACAGTCGCTACAATGAGGAAATAATGAATGATGTATAATTCATTTAAGGAGATAGCACTGGTCTCTCGTACAGTAATGGTCACTCTTTTGGTGCGTATGACAAGGACAGTACACACAAACAATGTGCACTCAATAGTGGAAGTGGATGGTGGTTTCGTGGTTGCTCTTTCGCAAATCTCAACGGAATGTATCCTGCAGATGGTCCTTTTCATCGTGATGGTGGTTTTGAATATCACAATTTTACACATGGAAAACCGTTACGTGAATCAAAAATGATGATAAAAATCGTTTAATATGTCAGTTATTCAATGTGCAAATAGAAGCTATACATTACATATACATGTATATAACATATTGATTTAAAAATGCTTGTTGTCACTCGTTATTTATTCAAATAGTTTTTGATTGCATCGTACCTGCAAGTGATAACTAAATGCCTTAAAAGATTTACTATAGATATTTCTAAATCTGATAAGCCGTTTTTAAGAACAAAGGTCATATGTATACATTCAATACAACCACTACCTTACATTGATATTTGAGTGATAAATGCTTGATAAAAAGTTATTATATGAATATGTTGATTTGGAAAATGTATTTCCACTACAAAATTGGATCCTGCGATAACGCAAAAAACACTGATTTTTTTTGTATGAAACTTGATATATGGATAGATGGCACTCTGGAGACTATGCATTATTATGTTTTCTTGAGAACTGAATGCCGTTCAAGCCTGTGCTAGGGGGCGTGGGGGATGTTGCACTTATTCATAATCCCTCTTGTAAAGAGTCAATCAAACCGAGTCTGCAATTCTTATGTAATTTTGTTGTGATTAATGCGTCCGAGGGATCACTTTGTTTCCAGATTTTTATACTTCACAACCTCAGATGTCAAGTGCTGTGTGGCAGCTGTAAAAAGTTGCCCCGTTCTTCATTTCAGTGTTGGTATATTTTTTTGGTCCTTCGGGATCATTGATGCCAGCACTACTAGGTATTGAGAATTGAGTACCGCTCAAGCCGGTGCTAGGGGGCGTGAGGGATGTTTCACTTATTCATATTCCCTCATGTACAGACTCAATCAAACCGAGTCTGCAATTCTTATTCAGATTTCTTTTCCTATGTTGAAAACTTGAGTTGCTATGACAGCAAAAAACCTGAAAATATGGCTGATTTAACACAAAAACTTGATCCAGTGATTTTGTTTGTTTTGGGTTTTACGTCACATCGACACAGTATAGGTCATATCGCGACGTTTCAGCTTTACTGGTGGAAGATGATCTCAGGTGCCCTTCCGTGCATTATTTCAGGCACGAAGGGGTACCTGAGTAGAACCACCGACGTTCCGTAAGTTAGCTGGATAGCTTCCTCACATGAAAGAATCCAAAGTCCCTGTAGGGATTCGAACCCACAGCGGTGAGGGGCAAGTGGTTTGAAGTCAACGATCTTAACCACTTGGTCATGGACGCCGCAGGATCCAGTGATAATGCAAAAAATGCTAAAATATTTTTACGAAACTTAAAATATATGTAGATGGCAGTCTGGAAATTATACAGAGTCTTTTTCTTTCCTATGTTGAAAATTTGGTTGCTAAGGACACAAATAGGCTCAAAATATGGCAAATATAACAATATTTGTCATTACTTAAAAGGTAGTGAAAACATTTATATGAAACTTAAATTATGGACAGATTGCAGTGTTGTGATTCTACACATAATTTTAATCTTGACTATAGGGAGTATATTGAGAGCTGTCTTACTCACCAAGCGTCGGCATCTCGTCAATATTTCGATTCGCTATTTCACTATAAGTTCATAATTTCTTAAGATATTTACTTCAATCTTCAAATATATGTTTCTGATCATCAATCCCCATCATATAATATGACAAGGTTAACAACTCTAGCACAAAAAATATCACAATTACCCTCTAACTTCATGAAAACATGATGATTTTTTATAACTTCTTTATTTCATAATGTATCTACTATAAACGTCATATGTATGTGCCTTACTATTATTAAAGTCATTTTGGAGAAGGTTCAATACTCTAGCTTGACTATTTCTGGAATTATGCCCCCCTTGAACTTATTTTTTTTTCTACACATTTTTATGTTTTACTCAAACTTCCTCATTTCTTACAGGATTTAATTCAATCTTGCAAATCAGTAATAGTATGACAAGTGTTATAAATCTGCGTCCATATTTCCAGAATTATCTCCTTAAACTTACTCATTCTTAAACAGCTGAATTTCTTATTTCTCAATGGATTTACTTCAAATTTTAAAATAAGACTTTCAAACAAGACCTACTTCATATGTGATTAGATTTATAAGACATGGGTTTCCATGATTATTTCCATTTCATCTTAAAATTTACTTGATTATTTCTTTTAATTTTCTTCTTTGTTACTATAAATGGTATATTTGAAGATTTACCATTTACCTTTTTTTTCTCACACTTCTTCTGTTTTGTTACTATAAATGGCGTCTTCATTAAACTTTGGGTAATTTTTCTTTATTACACTCAAGTCATGTATGACATTGTTCATAAAAAATCTGGAAATAAAGTGATCTCTCGGAAACATTAATCACAACAAAATTACAATCGGTTTGATTGAGTCTGTACTTGAGGGACAATGAATACGTGCAACATCCCCCACGCCCCCTATCACCGGCTTGAGCGGTACTCAATTCTCAATAGCTAATAGTGCTGGCATGAATGATCCCGAAGGACCAGAAAAATATAACAACACTGAAGTGAAGTACGGGGCAACTTTTACAACTGCCACATAACACTTGACACCTGCTGTTATGAAGTATAAAAATCTGGAAACAAAGTGATCCCTCGGAAGCATTATCACAACAAAATTACAAGAGAATTGCAGACTCGGTTTGATTGAGTCGGTACATGAGGGACAATTAATACATGCAACATCCCTCACGCCCCTTAGCACCGTCTTGAGCGTTACTCAATTCTCAACACTGAATAGTGCTGGCATCAATGATCCCAAATGACAAGAAATATATAACAACACTGAAGTGAAGTACGGAGCAACTTTTTACAGCTGCCACACAGTCTAGCATCTTTATTTCAAGAGTTATCTCCTCTTAGTTTAAGAATTTCGCTTTCAAAATATTATACATATATTATATTCTGGTAACAACCAGGGATGCTCAGAATCTCTGTCAGTTGGTCTGTCTGTCCATTTCTAAAAAAACTGTTTCCTGTGATTACTTTTAAAGACGTTGGAACTTTGCCAACAAACTTACTTAAAATAGAGAAAAGTTGAAACATCACTTATGCATATTCATTCTGAGAAAATTGGATCTTTAGATTATCTGTTCTATATACATAATAAGGGAAAAATTAATACATTACTTTGATACAGACAAACTAAGAACTCAAAAGATTTAAGTTTATTCATGTCATTCATTCATGACATAATTCAATGACCAATGGCCCTTCAGAATGTTGCTGAGGTTCTAACTGGTAGGGGACTTATGAATTGCTGGCAATACTATGATAATTGCCCGTGGTTAGATACCTTGTCAAATAAAAAATATATCTTCAAGAACAACATTATTGGCATATCAACGTCCTTTGTGCATGAGATCAGATGAGAGCCAATTATATGGGAACGACAACAGAAGAACGTACAGGCAACAAGAACACGTGCACAATTTCTTTTAAATCACGGTATTCAGTATAATTATATTAAAAAAAGCTTTCGACACTTCTCAATCGTTAGGAAATTGAAAACTTAATTGTATTGGCTATTGTATGATATTCTATATGATTTTTTTTAAAACGCCATTGTACTTTATGCATCGTTAAATTATTTTACAGCCTTGTTTTGTAAATCGGCGTTTGTACCACCATTTTAAAGAATGTGAACACGTGACAGCAAATTGGAGAGCGAATTAATTGATTAACATTGAAACAAGAAGCCGAAGCTAAGCGAACAATTTTCAGTTCCCTAAAGGTTAAATTATTAAGCATATTACTAAGCAGCTATAATGAAAAGACGCAAATTTAAAACTAAGCAATGTAAACCGGAAACAACCCAAAGCTTTTATAAGAACGTGTCTAGACAAACGCCTAATATTATATTTCTCAATTTGTTCAACCATACATTAAATTTTTGTAAAATTTGATAACCTTAACCTTACAAAAAACGCCTTTCCAACGAAACCATAGCAATATTACTTTACTGATAATAAAACCTGCTTTTACCATTCTGTCTTTGCCAATTTTCGTCTGATAAAGTACTGCTGTCATAAAGAACCTTAGCTATTGTAATGCCCTGTGACCTACAAATTGATACTATTTATAAGAATAAAACCAAAAGTGCAACTGTCAGGTTGTCCTTTCACTGCTGACACAGGAAACCCCAAGAAATGTTTGACCGGGAAGGAAAATGGGGATTACCCTGACTGACATAAAATGTGATAAAAACTTACAATCTATAAAAAAATTTCCGTCTTAATAAGAATCAATGTTTTTCAACAGAACACAATTTGACTTTTAACAAATCTGAAATTTATATATTCTTATCCTGTTTGTAAATAGCAGTATGTGGACTGAAAGGCATTTGGATCATGCAGTGTATCTTTTATTCGGAATAGGACAAATTGTGCGAAATCTAAAAGATCTTTTGCAGATTTATTATTCTTGGAAAACAAGGTACAAGAAAACCAAGAAAAGACAAATTGCAACCAAAAGATATTGTAACTAAAATGTCTTGATATTTGTTTTTAGTGTTTGTACCCCCCCACCTCCATGGGGGCGGGGACATTTATATTTAACCTTTTCCACCCGTCCGTTCTCATGTTGTGTCGCACGTATCTAAAAAGTATTTAATACTGTACAGTAATGTTACTCAGCATGTCAAGTTGTGCATCTGGGGTTTCCATTGTAGATTTATTCTGTTTTGTCAGAGTTATGGCGATTGAATTAGTAAATATTTGCATTTTCAATTTGGTCATACCTCATATTTGATCTAGAGTCATTAAACTTAAAAGGAATGTTGGCCAGCTTGTAAAGTTGTGCACCTGGAGTATCGCTTGTGGATTAGTTCTGTTTGAAAAGAGTTATTGCCCTTGACTCAATAAAAATTGCAATTTTTAAATTGTGTCGCACGTGGCTCAAAACATATTTGACCTGGGGTCATGTAAAGTTGTACACATAAGGTTTTGATTGTCGAGAGAAATTGTCCTTGACTTTTGCAATTTTTGACTTGTTTTGAACATAGCTCAACAACCATTTGACCAAGGGTCTAGGGTCATAAACGTTAACAGAAAATTTGGTCAGCATGTGTAGTTGTAACGTTAACAGAAAATTTTATCAGCATGTGTAATTGTGTACCTGGGG